TATATTATTTAATTATTGAACTATTTATTAAAATAATAACTATTAAAATTTGTTGTTAAATAATATCTTAATGAATGAGTAATTAATATCGGAATCTCTTACAAATATAACATTTGTAATTAATAATTAGATAATGGAAATTAATTCATATATAACAAATTGTTTGTACTTATTATGTTATAGTCGGTTTTTCTCAGGTAAACTAACATGGAAATTAATTCAAATTCAAAAGTTAATCCTAACGAATTAGCGTTGTAAATCTAACATTACTAGTTAAATAACGTTGATTTTTTATTGTTAACGCCAGTTAAAAGTCAATTCTTGTAGTAAAATTGATAGTCTTAAAAGTTTTTAGTAAAACAAAAAAATAAATTAGTTAGCTGATAAAAATAATATAATCACATAATTTTTATCATATAAATACAATTTTTATTCTCAATATAAAAAAATGTGTAATTATATAATTATCTTTTTAAATTTTTTAAACATAATAAAATTCATGTTAATTTTTGTATGCTATTTATTTTTCTTCAAGTTGCACTTTTTTATTTATTTAAACAAATCATTTTACTTTAAACTGGATGATCTAATAAGTATTAACCAAAATTTAATCTTTATTTATTTTCATAATTCTTTAATTTCTTCATTTAATCTACTGTTATACTAAGTTTCTTTTTTATAATTTTTGTTATTTCTAATTTTCATATAGCAATGGAAAAAAAATTAATTCAACTTGTGGTGTTAAATCTTTTTAATTTGAATTACATAGAACATAAAAATAAAAGGTTTAGTTTCTGAAAACTGAAAATAGAATATAATGTACTGGCAAGAAAAAGTTAAGAATAATAATAAAAAAATGTATTAAAATATAAGATAACAATGAGAGAAAATTAAATAAACTATAAAGCTATAAGTTAGAAACTAGGTGAAATAATTTGTAACTTACAAGTTAGAAACCGCTAAAATAAATTACTTTCGATGTTTTACCAAATATTTTTAAGATAATAACTTATAAGTTAATCGAATATACTAGTAATTAACTTATTGGTCACACCAAGCATATCCTTAATTTTTGTTAAAAGAATGATAAAAGTAATAATTATCAAACGAGGGATAATTCATAATTAATTATAATAATTATCAAATAATAATTTTGCTATGTTTACACATTTTCCCATCTATTTCATTTTATTTGTTCTTCAAGTTTTTTCCACATGTACTAGCGGTGCAATGATGGGTATTGTTAGATATATTATGTTTATCTAATCTTTATCTTTTATCTTTAGTTAGTCATTGTTTCTTATTTGTATTTTGGGCTCAGTCCATATTTGTTATATTATAAATAAGGACCCTATTTGTATATTCAACACAAGAAAGATTAATCTCATACATAGTTTTCAGTATATTAATTTCAACATGGTATAGATACAGGTTTTTTTGAGGAAAAAAAATTGTGTTGCCTCTGTCACTACACCCGCCACTGCCGGCGGCGGCGCCATCATTTACTATCATCGTCTACCGCTGTCATTATCAGAGTTTTAGTTTCGATCGATGATCACACAATTTTTATCGTCTTGGCTAGGCGACCACCGTGTCGTCAACGAAGCCTTCGTCGGAGCTCCTATGCGCTCTCAACACCTTTTGAAGTTGTGGATCTACTCCTTTTTTTTGTCGTGCACGATGACAAGTCTCGTCTCCTCTTAGGCAACGATTTAGAGCATCGAGGTTGCACTTTTTCTCTTTTAGGTTCTTCGTGCATTGTCGCATGTCGCGTCTCCTTTCAGGTAGTTATTCAGAGCATCGAAGTTGTTATTTTTCCTTTTTCACGTGTCTTGATAATGTTGGATTTTTAAGGTTTCTCTCTCCTATTCATCCTTGACTTCTTATGCAGTTGTTTCTTCTAACCTCTTTTTGGTCACCATTACGTTTGACTCGTCCATATATGCTTTTTCTCCTAAAGAAAATATGATTTTTGTTAGTTTATTTATAGTCGTGGTGACTCTTCAATAATGACATCTTTATCCACTAGATGTCAACAATGCATTCCTCAACGACGATTTGTAAGAAGAGATTTACATGGAACAACCTCTCATATTTGTTGGTCAAAGGTATTTTGTCTTGTATGTTTTTTTTACAAATCATTAACAATTTGGTGTCACTTGAGTGCAAAAGAAAATATTTTCACTAAGTCTTCATAGATTATATTAGTAACAAGCTTTGTACATACAACTTGTATGTACTAGCTCGAGGGGAGTGTTAGATATATTATGTTTATCTTATCTTTATCTTTAATCTTTAGTTAGTTTATTATTATTTCTTATTTGTATTTTGGGCTTAGTCCATATTTCTTCTATTATAAATAAAGGATCCTATGTGTATATTCAATACAAGGGAAATTAATCTGCATAATTTTCACTATATTCAACAGGTATGAAATTTCAGTTTTCTTCCTTGTGTAATACATATAAATTATGATGACAAATTGTTATTGTTATTAAATGATATTATGTTTGAACTCATTATGGACTTCTCATTCTAAAGTCATATTAAGGAGAAATAGATGATACAATAGTACATCAAAGGAAACACGTCGACTAAATGATGAGCAACTGTCATGACTCTTGTTATTTTTATATCTTTGATTATGAATAATGATGGAACCAATTTATCTAAGGATCAGGGTTTTACTTTTGGTTATAAGGTTCTTTCACAACAAATTATTAAGAAAGTGTGAAAGGAAAAAGAAAAACAAAAGGATAGATTGAAGAAAAGAGGTTGAAGAATATTATATTCTCATTGAATTTAGGTGTATGAATGTTTGATAATCATGAATCGTAAGATCTTAGTATAGTTTTCTGGAATGAATTAGTAATATAGAAAAACTAGAAATTAATTTTACAACATTTTCATCTATAAATTACAAATTAAGAAGAAAATAATAATATAATGTTTTTTAAATTAATTAATACATTAAAAGAGTTTTAATATATAATTTAAAATAGGAATGGATCGACATGTTATTACGATAAGGATGAGAATACTATGTTTTTAATCACTTTCAAGTAAAAATTAACATGTTGAAGCAAGGAATTACTTTTGTCATAACTTGTATGCTATGCTGTTTTTGTATTTTGTTACGGCTCATGGTTGTCATCACAAAAGGCATCCTTAGTTCTATTGTAGTTATTTTTAGACATGATACATAATTTAGTCATAGACATAATATTTATCACCATGTGACTACTTGTGTGGTGAAATTTTTAGGGTAACATTTTTCATCAAAAAATTTTCTTCCAAATATGTACTCATTTTGCTTTTGATATAAGTCTTTTTTTTTTTAATTTTACAAGAATTTGTCATGCTTGCAATTGTGATGAATATTATTATAAGAAATTTGTTTAATCATTTAAAAAAGTTAGTGCTGTCAAAATGGATTATAACCCGCGAGCCAACTTGATTCATCACGGGTTTGAGCCGGGTTGAGTTTGAAAAAATGTAATTTTTTTATGCGGGCTAGTTTTCAACCCAGCTCACTTAAAACCTGGCTCACCGGGTTGAACCCGTGATGAACCGGGTTAGCTCACCAACCCACCTAATTTAATTTAATTATTTATTATTTTGTGTTTCAATATTATTAATTAGCATTTTTTTTTATTATATTGTAGATGGTGATAAAGAAGAAGATGTTTCAAGAAAGAAAAATATTATGGATTTATCTATTCAAGATTCTAATATTATAAATGGACAAGTTATACAAAAATGTACATGTTTTTGGATGACACTTGGATTGTATGATATTTTTTTTATTTTGAATTGTTTTGGAGTTTAACATTATTTTAGTGTGACGTTTATTTATATTTGAATTAAAAAAACTTATAACTTTTTTATTTAAAAAAACTTATAATCAAATGAGCTAGTGAGTCAACCCGTTTAACCCATCAATACGTGGTGGGTCGAACCAGGTTCAAATTTTTTCAGTTCACTAATAAATAAGTCGGGTTGGACTGACTCACTAAGTGACCCCGCGTCGAGCCGAGTTACCCAGTTTAAGAGCTCTAAAAAAAGTTACCTTACTAAATACCTCGCCAAAACACAAAAATAATTTTATTAAAACTTAGTCAACTAATCTTATTTACAAGCTAAATAAAATGTTTTAGAAAATCTGTATCAATTATTACTTGTGTGATGCAATGGTGTACACAATAGAAACAAAATAAATAATAGATTGTTTTATCGAATTTGAATAATATAATATAATTTTATTCTTTTATTAATATTCACATAATTATATCATTAATAGATTTAAATAATATTCTTCTAATAATTACTTACATTCTATTTGTGCATGTGGTGGGTATCATATTGGAGAAAGAAAATTTATATCTACAATTGATTTGCACACCAAAATAAGCATATAACACATGATGAATTCATTTTATGAACACCCATATATTATAGCATATTACATATTCAATTTATACTTTCTCACCAAAAAGTTTTATTAAAGATTAAAATATATTTTCCATAAATAATATATATTTAGTAATACGCCAAAAATTAAATCAAATTAAATATATTTAATCATCGGGAGACAAAATAAATGTCTGAGTTTAATATTTAGTCATTCATATATCATTACTTAACTAAATTATCCAAGATATTTCTTTGATCTGTGCAAGTTTTAGTTTTCTTTTGTGAATTGACATTATGTAAATTCAATAATATTCCATTTTTGTTAGATAAATCGTTTTCTTACCATTAAAAATATATTGTGTATCTTCTTCTTCGTACTCTTCATCAATTTGTAGTTCTCTCCCATTGATTCTTGCTGGTCCAAACTTCTATATAACTAAACCCTCAGAACTATATTTTCCTCCATTTTTCTCCCACTCTTAATCTTCCTAATCCATATTCACAAAAAAGAAAAACAAAATATACTCTTGCTAAACATGCAAATTCTATTAAGTTGTTTTTTTATTTTAGGTTTCCTTGCACCATGTATGTTTGGGAGGTCAATAACATTTCATAATGTGGTCAACTATGGTGCTCGTGGCGATGGAAAATCTGATGATTCCCATGTATGTATTTGTTTGCTTTATTCACCAATTTTATTTATAATTTCAATGTTTTATTTTTCTTTATATTTTTCATTTGCAACAAAATATATATATATATATATATATATAATAGTTTTAAACAAAATAGACTTTATCGAATTATATCAAACTTAAATTTCATTGTAATGTCGGTTAATTTTGTGATGAAACTATTAAAACAGATTTATATGATTATATGATATTCTCCTCAATAATCTCATATCTTGACATAGTATTATGTGGAACATAAATATTTATTCAATCTTCTATTTAATTAGGGGATTTTATTTATGATTGCTATCTTAATTAATACTCATTTAGAGATTTATATTTTGAATTTATGGTAGGCCTTTTTAAGTGCATGGAAAGACACGTGTCGAACGGCAGGGACGCCGATTCTAGTTATACCAAAAAATGGAGTATTCAAGGTGAAGAACATAAACTTGAGTGGTCCTTGCAAGGCCAAAAGTATTCATATTCAGGTATATCATGCCCTAATTACTCATAAACATTTTTTAAGACATCTTTTACATCATTATTTCAGCTTAAATTGGACATGCAATTGCTTTAAATTTTCAAAGGAAAGCTTGGCTTTGTTGTCTTTATACAAAATAGTCAAACACATTGAATAAAAATATTTTTTCTTTTCATCTTTTGTTGCATAAAAAAATAAATTTGTGTAATTTTGGTCGTTTTCTTAAATATTTTATAATTTTACTTGTCAAAGTTGAAAAAAAGATGTCACAAGTGCAATTTTTTTTCATTTGATCTAGGTTTTTTTTTATTTGGATGGACATTTCATAGATTTACTTTTATTAATATATTTTACGTTCAACTTTATATTTTTTATGGACAATAAATAATTTATATTGAATAAGCACTTTAAGAAATCGGGGATGTTTAAGGAGACTTATGTACAAATAACAAGAAAAGAAAATTACATAACATTTTGTATCCTTTTCGACTATCCACCTATTTTGCCCTAACCGAGAAAAAAGTATCCCAAGTGTACTTATTCACAAAGCAAATATCCATATAATTTTATTTTATACTAATACTAATAAGTTATATTGATATATGTGTGAATAGGAATTATATATAAGTATATAATTTTACTTATATTGATATTTAAAAAATATTTAGTAGAGGTATTTGTATATCTTGTAAAGGAAATATGGTATTACATTCGTATATATAAAATTAATTTAAAAATATTTTTATTATAATACTTATAACTAAAGTATAACTATAGGAAAGATTTATTTATTAATACTTACTATAATTATATGATATTTCTCCGCTTACATAAGTATATTTATAAGCATTTATACAATAATAATTATTATTGTTAATGCACTATTATTTCTATATATATATATATATATACTATCTCTGTATACAGTATAGTAGTATATACTCATCTATATCAATATTTCTTAATTTACATTTATGTTTATTTACTTGTAGTAAATATGAAATAGCCAAATTGATCTCAACTTAATAATAATAATAATAATAATAATAATAATAATAATAATATTTTATTTATAAATAAAGAACTGTTAAAACCTAGTTGTTAAGTATAAGTGCTGCTTCTTATTTTCTTCATATATTTTGTCCTCTTTTCTTGAAGCTTCAAGGGAAAATAGTTGCACCTCAGAGGAATGAATGGGCAAAAGGTCTGCAAGTTGATGATAAGTCCTCTTTAATTTTAATCTCACAAGTCAACAGTCTCAGAATTCATGGAAGTGGACAAATCAATGGCTTTGGTTCTTCTTGGTGGAATTGCCCTTCTTGTCAAAGACCAAAGGTTCGAATATAACCTAATTACTTCATTGTTCATACACCATTAATTGGACCATTTTCACATAATTTCTAAAATATGCATGAAACACATTATCAACTTAATAAAATTAAATATAATTCAACAATATTAATATTACTCAATAGAGAAGGTATTTAATTATCAATTGACATGATATCTTCTACAAATAATGATAGAATCACACACACTTATTAGATTCATTTGATACATATTATAAAAATAAAATAGTTATTAAAACAAATTTTAATTTTATTTAAAAGAAAGTAAAAATGTGTATATCAAAATATCATTTCTCATCTTCAATACATTCATTCATACAGAAGATATCAAAGAAGAGATTGATAACAAGTATCACTCACTATACACGATTTTATTTAATTTAAGATACATTTTAAATGAATCTTATATCATATTAATTATATTGTGATATCATTTTAAGTTATTAGAATTAAACCTAAATCAACTTTGTTATACCAACTGAGTAATAGAAGATTCATTCCCACTTATATAATATAATTTTTACTTGGTATAATGTAATTTTAACTTTATTTTTAAGTAATTTTGGTATGATCTGACTTATGCAGGTTATTAGTTTTGAACAATGCAATGATCTTAGAGTTAGTTATCTGAGCATAATTGACAGTCCACGAGCTCACGTAACAGTAGATGGTTGTAACAATGCTGTGTTCTCTCATATCAATATTCATGCTCCTGGTGACAGCCCCAACACCGATGGATTTGACATTTCTGCTTCAAAATATATAACCATTCAAGATTCCATTATAGGAACAGGTAAGTTAATTTTCATCTTAATCATATACGTGTCAAATTTCATAGCACCAGTTCTTAAAATAATTACTGTATTTATGTGTAATTTTAACTCATTATCATTGTAAACAGGTGATGATTGTATTGCCATTAGTGGTGGCTCCTCTTTAGTCAATGTTACTGGGATTGCTTGTGGACCAGGCCATGGAATAAGGTTTTTATATATAAAGAGTGTATCGGTCTATTTATGTTCATATATATTAAAAATTTAAGTAGGATTTTAAAAGTTATAATATATTTTAACATAAATAGTTTTATTGGTAAATAAAAAAAATATTTTTAAGTTTGATAAATTTTTGTTTTTATATATAAAGAGTGTATCGGTCTATTTATGTTCATATATATTAAAAATTTAAGTAGGATTTTAAAAGTTATAATATATTTTAACATAAATAGTTTTATTGGTAAATAAAAAAAATATTTTTAAGTTTGTTTTAAATCTTTCAAACTTTATAACCTTTGGTTGGCATAAGTTCGAACTGGTTGTCTGCATTGACCTAATGGTCCAAAACTGGTTTCTGATGGCATATTAATAACATGATATCTGCATTATGTGTTCAAAAATATATTAAGATTCTGTCCTTGTTAATCTTTATGTTAAAAAATAAACAATTCATATGAATATCACGGTTAAAAAAATTATATTGTAAGTGACATTATATTATGGTGAAAATTCATGAATTAATCAGTGTTGGGAGCTTGGGAAGAAACAGGCAGCATGATACAGTTGAAGAAGTTTATGTGAGGAATTGCAGCTTCACAAACACCCAAAATGGAGCAAGAATCAAGACATGGAAGGTAAAACATAAAGATGTTGTATATTTTCATTTTGTACCAAATAGCATTACTCATTTTATATGTTGTTGAATTTTGACAGGGTGGATCAGGTTTTGCAAGAAAAATCACTTATGAGAAAATCACATTAAGAAAGGCTTTCAACCCTATAATCATAGACCAACACTATGACTATGATGGTTTGAAGGTACTCACAACTTTAGATTGATGTTTTGTGATTTCAAGTGGTTTATTATAAGAATAATGATACTTTGACAATATTTTTTTGACAACATTTTAACATTGTTTACGTGTCAGTCTGTGATTGGTCTATATTAGTGTTTATGATTATTATTATTGATTATGGAATAATTTTGGACCAAACACAGAATGACACGTAAACATTATTAAAATATTATCAAAAAAATATTGTCAAAGTATCGTTGTCCTTGTTATAACCTATTAAAGTTGCATTTTGAATTTGACATAATTAGGGTGGAGCAGTCAAAGTGAGTGATGTGACATTCAGAGGGTTTGAAGGAACAAGTGGAGATGAGAAAACTATTGACATAGATTGCGACTCTTCAGGTTGTTTCAACATCGTATTGGAAGATATTAACATTGCCTCTTCTGAACAAGGAAAACCAGCTTCCTGTTCTTGCAGTAATGCTCATGCAATAACTAAATCTACCACGCCAAATTGTAATTGCTTAATGAAATGAATTCTTTCTTTCCCATGTACATATGTTTAAGTGAAATGATGAACAATTAATAGGTACTTCTTTGGTAAATGCTACCCTCGATCTTCAAATTTACTTTTTCTTTTTAAATGTTCTTTCATTTTCTATGTACTGTAATAGGATGTACAACACTAAGGAAAAATAAAAGGTAGATATGGGACCAAATAATTAAATCTTTATGATAGGAAATTTCAATGCAATAATAATCTGGAAATATATTTTCTGAAGCCACTCATCCCATCCTTATTTCAGATCAAAATTTCTGGAAACCTATGATGGGGTGTAGTAAAAATTTTGATGGGTGCAGAAAGAAACACCTAATTACATTGATGCAAACTCCCAACCCATTAATTGTTTACCCATTCTACGGTAACAGTAGTCATTCCACTTTATATTAATACACTATACCTCATTTAGCTGTATATGATGTATAAAGTTTTGATATAAATATTAAACAATGTACTTAATGTTTTAAACTTTATAAAAACTATCAAGTACTACATTACAATATATTTTTTTAATCTCTTCTATGGGTTTACTCATTATTTACTTCTATTATGGAGTACTCTTACCAAGTAAATTGGTAACAAAAAATTGTGATAATGATTTTATTAGAATATAAATAATTTAGAAAATTTTAGGTCCAAAACATTAATTACCTTCTATTATTGTCAAAAAGAGGTTGGTACCCATGTGTGAAACTTGACAAGAGAGACACTAATGACCATAATAAATAAAATATAAAAAAGGTTACCATCAATAGTAAATATTCAAACTGGAGAATAAATAACTATTCATGATAACCAAAAATAAAGAAGCCACATGTTCATGCTTAAACACAATATAATGAAATAATATTACTAATATATTAATAATAATCTCCGAACATTTTTAATAGACCAATTAAATATCTCCGAACACCTTTCATTTATTTCTAACATTGTGAAGACTTCACATTTAAGATGAAACAAAATAAAGCTTTGATGATTACTAATAATATAATAATACATTGTAATACATAATAATAATAATAATAATAATAATAACAACAACTTAATAATCCTAATATAATAATAATAATAATAAAATATGACGTAAAAAAATGAATAATGACATGTTAATAAACTAAATAATAAAATATAAAAAATAATACTTAATTTAAAATTATAATACATTTATGTTAAATTTAAATAATAATTTAAAAGATAACTTTGATAACATACATAAGTGTAATAATAAAAAAAACAGTGAAAATTATAAATTTTACAAACTTTTAAAGATCTAAAAATAATTAAGGATTTTAATTGTGATATTTTTTTTGAAAGTAAGATTCATATCATCAAATTTTGAAATTTGAAACATATGATAATAAAGTTTAAATTTGAAATTCGAAATCACACAAAAGAAACTATAAAAATATAGTAACAAAATTTGAATTGAAAATTCAAAATTTAAAATAATTGTAAAAAAAATGATACGTTTTTAATAGACCATTTTAATGTTCGTAAACAAGTTTTACATATTTCTAATATTTGAGAATTTTTGTATTTAAAATAGAAACAAAATCTAGAAGCTAAAGAGTTCAACAGTATAATATTTAATAATAATATAAGAACGTGATAATACTAATATAACAGTAATAAAAATTAAAATATGATATAAAATAATAAATAAATAAATAGTTGAATAAATAAACTAAAAATAAATTAAAAATTAGTGAAACAAATTTCTTTTAATTTATTTCGTGTAATTTTCTTTCCAACTAAATTAACTATTAAACTATCTACATATTGTCATTTGAAGAGAAACATAATAAATAAGGTTTTGAAATAGGAATGTGTTAAATATGAAGACTCCATATTGGATGAGTCTACCAATAAATTATATTTTTAGGGGTGTATTCTTTATATTGTTTAGCATAATGTATTCATGATTATAAATTATTTATTATTTATATTTGTTTTTCTTTAATTTTATATATTTAGAGAGCGTACTTTTATATATTTTTTATATAATTTAATTATTTTGTAGTTTTATATTGTCCACTTTTCAAATTTTTTTTAGCATTTTAACCTATGGGGATCATATATGATGGATTTCAAGGACCACGTGTCACTATTACGTAAGATTGTTATCTCTAATTGTAGTCCTGTGCGAAACTTGACAAGAGAGGCCCCAATGAACAGAAAAAAAGAAAAGAAAAAAACCTTACAATGAAAAGTTGGTCCCATTTGAAGTTGATATTTTCTATATATGGGTGAATAAACAACGATTCATGATAAAGAACCACAGGTTCAAGCTTAATCACAAAGCATATCCATGGCGGAGCAGCGCGAGAAGCTTCACATCGTGGTGTTTCCATGGCTAGCATTTGGTCACATTGGTCCATTTTTTGAGCTTGCAAAACTCATAGCTCAAAAGGGTCACAAAATTTCTTTCATTTCCACACCTAGAAATATCCATCGCCTACCAAAAGTGCCTGAAAACTTGCAACCTTTGGTGGATCTGATAGAACTGCCACTGCCCCGTGTTGACAAACTGCCAGAAAATGCAGAGGCCACAATGGACATTCCTCATCACCTCATTCCATACCTGAAGCTGGCTTTTGATGGTCTTGAACAACCTTTGGCCAAGTTTCTGGAGAGATGCAAACCAGATTGGATAATATACGACTTTGCACCGTATTGGTTGCCGCCAACAACTTCTAAGCTAGGAATCCCATGCATCTCATTCTCTGTTTTTAGTGCATCTGGTATGACTACTTTTTTTGAGTCTATTAGAAGAACAACCAGTGGCAGTGAGTCTTCGTGGAGCAAAGATATTCCTGAAGAGCATAATGAGTCAAATGAATCGGGGGTTTCTGACGTGTTTCGAGTCCTTACAATTTCTGATGCTGCTCAAGTTATTGCTTCAAGAAGTTGCATGGAGATTGAAGGTGAGGCTCTCAAAGTTTGTAGAAGTATGTATAGTAAACCGGTGATTCCAGTTGGGTTATTGCCACCTTCATTACAGTTCAGTGAAGACAGGAATGATGAAAACTGGGATACCATACTTAAATGGTTAGACAAACAGGAAGAAGGGTCAGTGATGTATGTAGCTTTTGGAAGTGAAGTGACACTAAGCGATGAAGACTTTACTGAAATTACTAAGGGAATAGAAATGTCTGGTTTTCCCTTTTTCTGGGTTCTTAAAAGTCAAAACAGCTCTAACGTTGAGTTGCAGGATTCGCTTGTGAATAACTCAGGAAAGGGATTGGTGTGGAGAAGATGGGCACCACAGATGAGGATTTTAGCACACAAGTCTGTTGGGGGATTCCTGACTCACTGTGGTTGGAGTTCAGTTATAGAGAGTCTTCAAGTTGGTTGTCCACTTGTTATGTTGCCATTCCAAAATGAACAATTTATAGTTGCTAGGAATATGGAAGAGAAAAGGGTAGGGGTCAAAGTAGAGAGAAGTGAAGATGATGGGAAGTTCACCAGGGAATCATTGGCCAATGCATTAAGATCGGTGATGTTGGAAAAAACTTATAGAAGTGAAGCAGAGGAGATGAGTAAGATATTTGGGGACAAAGAACTGCACCAAAAATATATAGATGAGTTTGTGGAACATATGGAAATCCATAGGCCTGCCATAAAGGATTAGTCTTTCTGTCATTCGATTACATCATTCAAAATATATCACTCTGTGTTGTGTTATTTCTCTTTGTATCTCAGTAATCTCAGTCCATGGCATCTCAGATTTAAATTTGTTTCATCAATGAGGACAATCACTTGTTGGAAGAACAAGTCCTTTGGTGTTGTGTTTTTTCTTGTAATATGTCATCAGCTATGCAAAATTTATGTTGTGGGTTATTATTTGTAATTGATGCATAAGTTTGAAGGCTATTTGTTATTATATGTAATTGATCATAAGTTTTAAGGTTTGTGTGTCATTTCCACTAAAAATATATATTTGATTGAACTGATTTGTAACAGTAAACAATAATATATACTATAACATAATAATGTTAGTCTCCTGACCAAAAAACAAAGAAACTAAAGCATGTAAGGCTTTCCAATTCCATCACTTTGAATATAGATATCCAAATAGCTGATCCTATAAACAACAATAGCTAGTTTCAATCAAGAAAAAAAAAGATATTCAGCTTTTTTAAGTCAGATATGGGTAGCATGGCATTAAATAATGTATAAATCATAATAAATCTCCTTTTGACTTTATCTTCAGATTTCCCAGCCCACTTGCAATGACACATCCTTGTTGTGCTACACTAGACCACATGTTTGCAGTGCTATTTCTCATCTACAATTTAGTAATATTTTTGTTGGGTCATTTTGTTTAATCATTTTCCTTACGTGGGGACTTGTGTTGGAAATGGAGCAATGTCTTGTTTTATTTGTGTTTCTCTCTGTTATTCTGTTATGCTTCTAGAATGTATTCATCATGAGTGTTTCTCCCTCTATAATTTACCGATCTCCTGTATTTTTCTATTTTTCTATTATTTTGAACTGTGTTCATGTCAGAATCATATAACCAAAAAAAATCTTTTTACGACTGTTTGTATGTGGTATTTGTATGTGTTGGGATGCATTTTTGGATTAGATCATTTCTTGGTTGAATAAGATGAAGGTCGAGGCCTCAATCGTAGTGGTTGAGAGGCGCTGGTACTGAGTTGGATACATTTCTGGATTGGATAGGTCGAAGGTCTGGATTAAATGCATTTGTAGGTCAGATGAGAGGAAGGTAGAGTGAAAGCATAGTGATTGAAAGCACCCCAGCGAAAGAGCGGTTGCAGAGCATTTGAAGTGCGGTTGAACGTCCACCGTAAACGCAGTGGGAAGTGCGATTCACATTGCACCACATTTGGAAGCGCGGTTTGTACCATGCCGCAACTAGAACTGCGATAGCCGCACTTCAAAGTATAGCTAATTTGGAATTGAAACTGCGGTGAAGAAATTTTTTGAATTTGGAAATGTGCTCTTTCTTTAATTATTTATTTGTTTTGATTTACTATATTTAATGTTTTTTTAATTTGATTTGTTTTTATTTTTTTATTAGTTTATTTAAATATTTAATATTTTTTAATTTGCATTTTTTATATTTGATATTTATTTAAATATTATTTTTAATGTAGTTGATTTTTTTTTTAATTTCCAAATTTAAATTTGTTTGTTAATTTTTTAATCTATAATTATTTATTAATATTTTATTTTTCAATATGACTTATTATTTAATTATTTGTTGTACTTTTTTTTGGTTTTTTATTAGTTTATTAATTTAAATTTAATTTATTATCTTTTTGTGATTTTTAATTAAACCATTATTACACTTTTGTTATATTTTATTAGATGAAAGGTATAACTGTCAGTTGGAAGATGCAGGTGAAGTATAGGGAGAAGCACTCATTCATCATAAACTAAATTTAATATTTTAAAATATATCTAGAAAAAGTTGTAACCTATGAAAATTAAAATATTTAAAATGAAAATCCAACAGAGAATTTGAACATCGCTTTTATCAACTAATGTATAACTTTGAAAACAAAAATAGTAAACCATTGCACAATCTGCTATATATAACAACCGGGAAAAACAAAGGAAATAATAATCAGGAAAAAAAATAATAATATTTTCCTTTACAACGGCTAAGAAGGAAATTGGGGCATTCAAAAGATTTGTTGGCCACTTGTGTGAAACTCCAAGAGAGGCTCGTCAACAGAGGTGCGAAAAGCTAAAATACGTGCTCCACTTTGAACATAAATGAAAAAATAAATAAGTAAGTAAATAAGAAAAAAACTGTTGTATGAAATTTGTATTTTTATTGAACCGGACTTTAAATATAACTAAAACTCGATATAAAAAACAAGAAGATAGGCTCTACGTATAGGATATGATCCCATATTTACCAATTTTCTAACAATCTCTAACTAAGTTTATTTAAAACAGTTAAACAACTTTAATTAAATAAAAAAAATAAAACAACTAAAATATTTTAGCATGAATGATGAAACGACAGTACAACTTTAATACTCTCTTTGTTTTGGTTGCTACAAACTCTAACAAAAACCTAAAACTTCTTTTTGATAAAACTTTAACGAAGACAAATTTTATTGTTAGTAAATATATAAGCTTGCAAAAAGTATAGTTGATTATTCCTTCCTTTTGCATTGAAGTGTTTGGTTTTTTCATAGAGTTGTTTGAAATAGAAATAGCAGATTGATTATCAACTACAACTTCAGTGCATCTCTCTTGCTTCATATTCAAATCTACTAACACTTTTATTAACCATAAAGCTTAATTCACACTAGTACTACTTGTAGTGAATTCATATTTTATTGTAAATTGAGCCATCATATTGTATTTTTTGCAACACCATGTCAATGCTCATGATCCGAATAAGAAACAGTAGTCCGAAGTGTTCTTTAGTTCATCATGAGAACCTTATCAATCAATGTCAGAATATCCTTACAATACATAATTTTGACTTTTTGCAAAATTTGATTCCAAAATTTAGTATCCCTTTTGTTGATAGGGGAGGCATGTAGCTAAACCCATATCTCACATATGAGTTTTTATGATGACAACATAAATATTTAATAGTTTCTTGCATAAGAATATGACAAAAATGTTGCTTGATTATATATGTGTATGTGTTTGAACTATATGTGATGTGTATTCCTTGTTTACAAATGAATCATTGCTTAAAATTCTTTGCACATTGCATATCTGTATGAATTAATCGATTACACTGTTTGAATATTCAGTAAAATTCATCAAATCTTAGTATATGCTTAAGAGTGGTAAGACATCAAGTTTTAACCGATTACATTATGAGTATAATAAATTAAAACTCATGGTTATGCCTGCACATGTTTACTGAGTCCATTGAGGTGTTTTTGAATGAAAAAAGTTTTCAAAATGCTTAACTATGGAACTCAACTGATTAAATTAATTCTAATTGGCTAAAATGTGTTTTGTATGAAAATCTTTTCATGAATAGCCATAACTTTCATAACGGTCATATTTTTAAATGTTGTGACTTGTATGTTTTTATTAATCAATTACATGCTCTTCTTAATTTGTTAAATGTTGTGAAATGTAAATCTGTTAATGCTGAAGGAATTCCTTAACCAATTACATTAATTGAAAAATCGATTAAAATACATTAGAGTTGAGAAAATCTATAAATAGACACATTGCTCACTGTATTCAACAATTTTATGATTCGTCTCTTTAATATTTGATTCTTTTGTTGATATCTTATTATAGGAGCATCCTGAAACTCTCCAAGAATCAAGATTACCACATTTGGAAGAAATTGTCAAAGATTCTTGAAGAATTGAAGTGTTGTCATAAGTTGATCATATCTACATAGGTGTATCTTTCCATATCAGAGTTATCTACAATTAAGGCTGATTGTATCCCTGTTGTTGTGGACCGGAAGAGGACTTGGTGAAGTTCTTTGACTTAGAGTAGGGTATCTCTAAGGGTGACAGAAAGAGGTTGTTCTTTCTAGATTGCTATAGTTGATTTGGAGTTCAGAAGCAGATTACATTGAGAGGATTGTTCTCTGTAAGTCTTGCTTTGTAAGAACTCAATTAATATAATGGAATCCTTTCAATCTAAGGTTGATTGAAAGAAGATTGAACGTAGACAGTGACTGAACCAGTATAAACAACTTTGTGAATCTTTCTTTCCCTACACTTTTACATTGTTTTCATTCTTTATTATAATTGCATTCCAATAAATATCAAAAGATTTCAAAAAAAAATTTCAAAAACATATTTTTATGAAGGGAACCAATTCACCCCCTCTTGGTTAAGGCACTTGGCCAAATTTTTTTCTACATCTTTCACATATACTTTAGGACTCTTTTAGCGACAAGAATATGTGTTTTTGCACAATTGGTAAATCTAATTGACTTACTGAATATAAGTTATCAAATATAGTAGTTGTTCAGTATATTAACCTATAAACTATATTTCTATAGAAAGTTTCATTCAACTTCATCTTTTTTTTCTCGGCTCTCCTTTTTACACATTAGATTATCTACTCTCTTGCATTCATCCATTTTGATTTTTGAAATTCCTTAACATACTTCTTTTGAGAAACAAATACTTTCTCTCGCTGACTCAATTTTTTTAGTGTACAGAGCAATGAGATTATGCCCAATCCCTACTTCTTCACAAAATCAATTAAATTGATTGGAGGTCTACTCCTTGCTGTTGTTAGATCTCAATTCTTGTTTCAATCCATTGCATTCCAAAATAAAAAAAAAACAGCAACAACTTCATAATTGAATTTAAGAAAATAGATCCAACACATTCCAGAGCATCAATAGATAAAAAATAAAAATAACTTGCTACATTGAGAAATGGAGTGTTGTAAAGTCCAGACACGTATAAGGTGTCAAGTGACATTTTTTTTTGGCGTTTGAGTTATTTACTTTGGCATATTATAGCTAAAATATTATTCTCGAAATTCCTTTAATACATAAAAAAACACAAAAAAATAGTTAAAACATTTGAATTAAAAAGACTAAATTCATTCATTTTTTAAATTGAAGAACCAAAATATATCATATATATATATATAGATATATATACATCTATATATATAAATATATATATATATATATACCTATATATATCTAATATATATATATATATATATATATTAAAGACTAGTTTAGACACTAATTTCTTTGATTATTGCTGTCAAAATGGGTTGTAATCCGGAAGTAATCCGACTCACCACGAGTTTGAGTCAAGTTGGGTTTGAAAAAATTATAATTTTTTTATGCGGATTAGTTTTCAACTCGGCTCACCGGGAACCCACCTAATTTAATTTAATTA